GCCGAGCAAAACTCCGATCTGCACACACACGTCTATACGTGTGCGGAGCGAGAGATAGGCGCAGAGCGAGGGTGAGCGAAAACAAAATTTTATAAACTATTTTCGATTTTCTCGGCGCTCTAGCGTGCATGTGTGTACCTGATTTCTCGCGCCAGATTTCGCGATTCTCTCTCTCTGATGTGCGCGCGTTCATCCAAACAGCTTTGATATACATATTGCATCGAGGCAATATACACGGCTGAAAGTCGTTTTTTAAATGCAATAAAAAATACGTTCGTATCACGCGCGGCCAAACGATACACAACGGCCTACTTTTATTATTTTCTTTTTTTTATTGCTAGCCGAATCGAATGCATGTTTGTCTTTGAGATTGCCATCGCTTTAATATAGCTCCGAAGCCAGTATAACGATAATTAATCAAAAAGAAAGAAAGAAAGAAAACCCCCAGTGCGCACTTGTATACACTCGCACGCACAGACACACACACATATTGCAGGAAGGTAATCTCGTGTGTGTCGCGCGTTCGTAATGTAATTTACATCGTCACCCCCTTATCGAAATTGCTAATCGAGGCAAAAGCCATTGGTCCGAAAAGCACTGGCGGTGATGGTAGTGGGTTTTGCGTGCCGTACGCTACAAAGTTGGAGCGGGGCGAAAAAGAAGAAGAAGAAGCAGTGGCATCGCACAGCCAGTAGCAGAAGCAGAAGCGCTCGACGAAGATTGACCCGAGGGAATGTTTCTCCGAGCAATAAATGTGAATTCGTCACGCGCCCAGAGAGAGAGAGAGAGAGAGAGAAATTGTCGGGATTGCTGCTGCAGCGTTTAAGCCGCCAGCTCGCATGCCCGAGATATTAAAATGTCCAAATCAAATTTCAACCTATAGTAGGCATCCGTATATAGACGCGCGCCGCGCGCGGGGTATGTATAGAAAGAGAAGCAGCGCGTGCTATATAACACAACTAGCTGCTGCTGCCTCCTCGGCAGCCCCCAATCGACGAAGGGTCAAATTAGACTTGGCTTGTGCGCCGCCTCGCCCTCGCGCCGAAACGCTCCAAACAGCAGTAGCGATGATTCTTTAGATGCGTATACAGTCGACGAGTCGCGAATCGGCAGCATTGGGGTGTGGGTGCACCACCACGTTTCTAGTTATATTACGTGCGCGCACATTTCTGTATATAACAGCGCGTATAATTGCGTGCACACGCGCACGCACGACTGTGGCGTCGGCGGGAGTAATGTATGCGTAGATGTTGCTGCTATACACTTTTGCGCCCGCAGCCTTGGCCAAAGCGCGCAATAAGGATCGAATCTTGTACAGCTTCGCGCGCGCGCGCGCCTATAATCGAATTCATAGAAATACATCGTCGTATATTGCTGCGGGGCGCAGCAGGCCTCGTCGTCGTCGTCGTCGTCGTCGTCTACGTCTTCGCTAATGGGAAAGAGAGAGACTCGTGAGACGCGAACCGTTCGATTTCGTTTCGTGTGCAGGCAGGCAAGGCTTCCATCATTGCGTGTATAATATTTGCTTCGATTGGATTCTCCGATGCTCGCGAAACGCGAGCTTGCAAGCTCGCTCAGTCACGCGCAAGAAAAAGCAAGCGCCGCACCCCGAAAAACAGAGAGAGAAAGCTAGAGCGCGGAAGAGCTTCGTACGCGAAAAAAACTGCGAGCATCTCTCATCGGTTACGATGTATACCAAGAACAAGAAGATACGTTCTCCTCGCGTACAACATCCATGTATAGCTGTGCTGCTACCCCCGCGCGCGCACAAGCACGGCAAGCCACGGTGCGCGAGCAACGTGGCATAGCATCATAAATTCACGAAAGATTCGCAGAGAGTTCATACAAATTACCGTCGTGAAGCTCGTGAGCTATATACGTAGCAGCAGCAGCAAAGCTCCTGATGGGAAATATATGTATAATGCTATATATATTCCGTATATAAAGCTCACGTGGCCTCGACTACCGTGTATAGCTGAAAATATATATACTTGCTCCGACTGCTCGCTGCTGTGTATGTATAAAGATGCGGAGCGCCGGGGCTCGTGCGGAGTGTACTACTAGCTGTGTATAGTGGGTAACATGTAGCTCGCGCGGCGGGGAAAAATGTGTGTAGCATTATACATCATCAAAATCCCTACACTCGGTTGAATCCTCGCGAGCTGCCTGCGCGAGCGCCTCATTATCATGATATCGTATCGTGTACGCAGGGCGGCGTCTATACGTATATAATATCGTGTGCGAGTCCTGTACGTGTATAAGCGTATATAGATGCTATAATATACAATGACGCGCATATTGGCAGACGTTTTAAACATAATGTTGCAGCCGATATAATAATGCATGCCGGCGCGCGCGTGCATATGCACATCCAGTACGTTGGGAAGTGTATATTCGTGTATATATTGGCGATCGGTGCTGCTGCTGCTGTATATATAGAGTAGTAGCTCCGGCTGAGCGAGTAGCGGCAATATTGACAAGGCGTGAGTCTGCATTAATTCCTGCGCGCAGTGCCAGAGTGTGTGTGTCCCTTGATCGCGTCCTGCACCGCTCTATATCTGTATCTACGATGGTCGAAAATTCGAGGTGCCACTACTGGTACTGCCCTTACCCCGCGCGCCCAGGCTAGCCCATTATATACGTACGGGTACTTGGCAACGTTACTCCGCGTATAATGGCTTGGTCTCGCTTCACCTCGCTTTCTGTCTCTCTCTCTCTCTCTCAACCTCGGATCGTCATTGGCAAATATGACGCGCATTATCTGCATGCGTGCACAACTGCTACTGTTGCTACTGTTGCTGCTGCTGCTGCTTGCCCAAACACACATACACACATACGCAGCAAACTCGAAGTAACATACGCGTACGGAACGGTAATGGATGCGTCTTGCAAGTTGAGTGTACCGGAGCTGCAGCAGCAGCAGCAGCAGCAGTATATACATAGGAGTGCTGTGCACCACCCGCGCCTACACACATTTGCGATACATAGCTGCTGTTGCTGCACTGTACCGCCGTCGTATCGGATACTTTGTTACGTCGGGGGGCACACGTCGTATATTTACGTACGTATGTACGTATGTGCATATAATGCTGCAGCGACGCAGCCCGAAACATATGACTCTGCTGCTGTGGCGGTTCGCGTGCGTTACAACGGCAGCAACATCAGCTATATGTGTGTGCAGCCTAGTAAAGGTATACACGCGCGACGAGCTGCAGTTAATATATGTACGCGCGCCCCCGCGCCATGCTGCCTGTTTGTCAATATTGAGAACGTGTTGCGGTCGGCTCTCTCTCTCTCTAGGCTACATTACCTATATACGAACGCGCGGTGTGCACCTCGTCGTACCTATATACATGATTATATGTATATGTATGTACGTTGGCAATCCAATACCCACCACTACTACTACTACTGCGTCAGCTCGCTGCGTTGCTGCTACCGGTGTACTTAATTATCGATGTTATTCCGCCAATAACTTTGTGCAACTTTTTGCAATCGACGTGGATCCCGAGTAGAAGCCCGAACTCGACGCAGAGAGCTGCTACCGCTGCACTGCACTGCGGCGCGCGCGCCCGTATCTACTTCTCTCTCTCTCTCTCTCTCTCTCTCGCTATATTACATAGCGCAAGAGAGTAGACTTCTAGACTCGAGTTCCGCGATATGAGAAAGTACACGATAGGCAAGAAAATCGTAAAGTTCCTTTTCCAAATTAGACTCGCGAATACTACTACTACTACTACTAGCAATGCGATCTGTACTGCGCTCCTATACATAGAGAGCTTTGCGCCCTGCAGCAGCTTCTCGACGATCAGACCTTCTGCATTTTTAATTTCAATCTCGAAATTTCTCTCTTCTCTCTTTGCGCCCTCGTGCTCGCTGCTGTTATATGTACTCTCGGCCGGCTGTTTTGCGCCAGTTATCTACTACTACTACCACTACTGCTGAGTCTAGTGATTTATTCCGTGTGTGTATGTGCGGCCCACTCTGGCGCGTATACCGGCGCGCAATCTCGTTGCCGCCTTTAGCCGCTTTCATATTATATGACTGATATAGTTTATGTACTGTTGTTCAATTCTTTATACAGTCTGCTGTTGCTGCTGCTTCTGTTGCCGAGTTCAGAGAGAGAGAGAAAGAAAGAAAGAGTAGAGAGAAACTCCTTCGAGGATCGTCGTCGTCGACGGGGTCGAATTTTTCGACATATTATTAATTCTCGACTCTCATATTTTCGCGGATTTATAGCTATAAATATATAAAACGACAGTATTCGCGCGCGCGCATGCCTGCAGTATATATAAAATACGGAAGAAGACAAAATCGAAGGCTTTGGTTTGGCCGCATTATATAATAAATCGTATCGCGCTCTGCTGCCGCGGGGCTAGAGAGCGAGCGCGCGCAACTTTTCAAATAAATTAAATGGCTGTGTGTGGACGAAACAATGGACAACCGAGGGAGAGAGAGGGAGAGAAAGACAGAGAGAAAAAGAGAGAGAATTAAAATTTTCAGACTCGCGACGGACAAAAGTTTCCACGCTACACTCGCCCTCTTATATACCCGTTCGCAGAAAATATAATACAGCTCGCTCACGCGCGCGCGCTCGTGCTGCTTCTGTCTATAGGGCGCGGCGGTACACTGCGCTTGCCGCCACTGCTGCAACTTTTTCCTTTTTTTTCCCTCTTACAGCAGCTACCCTCTTTTCCCTTTTTTCCCGTTTGAAGAAAGACCTGATAGGCTAGGGGCAGTATTACATGAGCGCCGCGTCGTCGTCGTCAGTGAGATAAAAGATTCCCGCTTACGGCCTCTCCCCTCATCAATCAGGGAGCCGAAGAAGAAGAAGCCTTTGAAAAAAGACCTTCCATCGCTTATTCGCTATACGTAGTAAGCTTTCGCGAAGAAGTTGAGCAATATACAAATATTCGCGCGAGATGATTTAATAATGGTATAAGAAATTGCAGGGAGCAAGAAGGAAAAAAAACGAAGAAAGAAAGAAAAATTTGTCTTACCTGATAGCCGTCGATGCAGTCGCATCTGCCAAGATAGCACGAACCCCTGCCAGAGCAGTCGTTTGGACAGGTGGTCGATACACCCTCGGCCTCGGTGACAATTAGGGTGACCGTGTAGGGCTGCAGCTCGTCGTTGTAGACCGACAGGAACCAACGTCCGGTGTCGAGATACTGCAGAAGACTGACGTTCACCATCATCGCCTCGAAATTCGACCTCTTGTACAGCAGATGGTCGCTGCGTGCGCCGCCTCTCCTTCTGTCCTCCTCGTTCGTAAAGACACGGGGCTGCACGACGTACTCCTGCGAGCCCAAGCTACTGGTGAAGCTGACCGCGGCGACGCCGGCCGCGGCCAACACGTCGCGCTTCAGACGATGATCCAGCCGGCCGCCCCGCACGAACTCGACGAAGTCGTACTGAGTGACGCTGGGCGCGACGTTGCGTCGGCCGTAGACGGCGAAGTTGGCGCCCCACGGCAGCGTCAGATTCAGCCGGATGAAGGCCGGCTGCTTGTTGCGAAACTCCGAGTTCCAGAAGTTGTAGGGCGGTATGACGGCGGTGTGGGCGACGTTGTAGGATTGGAGCTCGAGCACAGCGGGCCAGTGCTGCGCCGCGGACTGCTGGATCTGCGGGTCGCTCTGGTGTTGCTGCTGGTGTTGCTGCTGTTGGTGCTGCTGCTGCTGCTGATGCGACTGCTGATGATCGGCGGAGTCGGCGTGCGAGGCCGACGAGTGCTCCGCTGTGCTCGTCGGCAGGCTCTCTGCGAAGAAAAAAGCGGCAAAGAAATGATTATAATTGGTTTTTATTATTATTGTTATTATTATTAATACTTTTTTTTTTCAATTATTATTATTATTTTTTAATGAAACTATGTTTGATATGAAACTTGATTGGGTATTGGGCTAGTTGACGCGTAAAATGACAAACGACACCTCGGTAATGATTAGAAAGTGTAATTAGACTAGTGCGGAGGCGGAGCCTACGCTTAGCCATGTGCTATTGTCATTTTTGAAGCACATATTACACGAGTGGTCCGACTATTCTGGAATTTCACTTTTTCTTCGCTACTGCGCACTTGAATCTGTTCGAGCTCAATTTTGACCATGTGTTTTTCAATTCGTAATGTAAGTCGTAATATATATAACCTAGGCAGTACGTTTAGAGACGCCGCCGTGTAAACAGCTATAAGAAGATCGCATCGATCGTGTATGTAGCAAGTGATTTCAGTGGCAAAAATCATAAAATATCTCAAACTATAAGTGATTGTGTTTGTCTATCAGTGCAACAATGTCCATCAACACCGTACGCTTAGAAATATTGGAGAGTCTAAAAAAAAATGTCGATTTTGAGAACAAAGAAAAGCGACTTGAATTTCTCCGTCAAATTGTTACCTTAATCGAGGGTTGGGACGACGAACTCCCGGATCTCCGTCAAATTTTTCTCGCGAAAGAAATAGAGCTTCTTTGCATGGATTTATGTACTGGACCCTTGGAGGATATGTCTAATCCATTCATTCGTTTCGTCGCTCGGACCGGCTACAAGGACGAACCCGACCTAGACACAGATGGTAAGCCACCTTCACGCCGCACCACGCCAGTACATCTTGGGTTTAGACGAAAACACATAATGACCATGTATTGGTCGTTACGTATATTCGAAAGATACGACGTAAATTACATCGACGAGTCAGGCCTTACGCATTTCATAATCGCCTGTGTAATAGGAGATGAACCCGTAGTCAAAGATTTCCTCGAACACGGGCACGATCCTAATTACATCTGTCGCTATTCGGGTTATACGCCGCTACAAGTGGCTTTGATCACGGAGCGCCGCGATGTGGTAGACTTGCTACTGAGAAGAGGTGCAAATCCGCATTTGTGTGACTCAAAGGGATCGACAGCTTTGCACATTGCAATAAATAATGGTAACGATCATTTGTTCCTCGAGGACAATGTAGATATATTATTCAGGGTGTCCGACGACATCCAGCAGCCGTTGCCGATCGACACTCGTGACAATTTGGGTCTTACACCCCTGCAATTAGCTGTGGTGAATGGTTTGTCGGATACGGTCGACTTGCTCTTGGATCATGGAGCCGATTTTTCCAACTTTGTTTTTCCCACCGAAAGTCATTTTGATGCATTTAAGTGGAGATCGTCACATTTGTACCTATATGCGCACTCGCCTGCTACCGCTCGTTTACGAGTGTCTGGCGTTATGGCCGTTGTTGGGAACTTACAAAAGAGAGGATACGAATTAGACCCAAGCGACGCAATGACGATAATGAAAATGATCGCTAAGTACGGATTATTCGAAAAGTCGAGTGATCCTGACGAACTTGGTTACAGTATAGAAGAACTTAAAGATATAGCAAAAACGTTGTCGGCGAAACCAAAAAGGCTAAGGCTCAATAACTGCTTGTGGAGGTTACCATCCGAAGAGTCGTCGAAAATAGTCAAATCTGAGGATTACCTCAAGCTAGAGCAATATGAAAAATTGTGGGCACGCATCAAAGACAGTAAGAATTTAGCGGCTGTGGATGCGTATCTGTGCGAGTTGATGACCAGAAGATTTTTCTTGAAATGGGCAATGGAACCTTTCATAGAGCTGATTCACAACCGACTGCCAATTCTCTGTTGTGATATGATCATCGAGAATCTGCGTAACGAAGATTTGTATAATATTTGCTTGGCGGCAGAAGACCTAAGCTCGTGACAACGATGAGTTTTTGGTATTTTTTCATATTTGCTAAATTATTAATGCCATTCGAATAAATAAAAATAAAAAAAAATGAAATCATCAGTTTTTCTTTTATTTAAAAATATTCCTTTCTTTTTATTTTGTCACAGTTTTTTCTTTGGTCGTTGGTTACAGTTTTGAGTTCAAAGCTTTCTAAAATTTTCCTCCGAGAAAGTGAAAGCGAGTTATATTTGATGGGAAATCGATCAAGTACATTATCGTACGAAAAGAATGAATCTTCGTTAAGCCCGCTATTCTATTGTTATTTTTAATAACAAGTGTCTTTTTAAAAACATCGATTAAAATTGAAACTCTATCGGAATCGCACAAAAACATTGAAATCCAATCAAATCGACAATTTTTTTGTCCTTTTCCCATCGAGCATTTCTCAGAGAGCACGCTTACGTACAAAAACGAGGGGGCTTAGGAAATTTATTATTTATAAAAGTATTTTGTCCAGACCATCGAGCTTCGAGAAGCTGTTAATTATCAGTAGCTCTCCTTACATAAGCTCTCGATGTATTGGAAAGAAAAAGACGCTCTGCAACATTGGTGCGTTCGGGCAATAATACTACTACTGTATACGCCGACGAGGAGAATGCGCGATCTACCGATCGACCTCCCCCCCTCGACGACGAGAACGTGACGCTACATAATATCTGCATATTAATGGCTTTAGGTTTTCTGTCGCTGCTCTCTTGCGACACGCAGGCTCGTCTCGTCTCCTCTCACGCACACCGTGCGGCGTATTTATTATTGGCTTATAAATACGGGGGGAGGATAAAGCTCGCAACGAGCGAGCAGCGAGCGAATTGCGGAAAAGCGAGAAAGCGACGAAATAAAGCCAGTTTAAACTCGGCTGGCGCAGTATAGCGGCATCGCGAGCGCGATACATATAGCAGCCGAGTTGTGCATTGTGTTTACTCCGGGTTGCGCTTATCGGGTGCCGGGGGTAGGTAGACTGCACACAGCAGAGAGCATTCAGTTAGGTACTCTGCACGCTATATAGAACAAAAATGTATAAAAATGCATTTCACGCTACGGGAGCGGTGATGGTCGGACAGAGGCAGGGCTATAGCAGGAGAGAGAGAGAGAGTGAGAGAAAATTCTTACGAATCATTCGCGCGCACGAAAATACATTATGCGCGAGTGGCGTATGAATGGTCTACCGTGGCAATTAAGTATGCATGAGCGAGTGTGAAAAAGCTCGCCGTAGCGCATATACCGGCAGCAGCCCGATAGTATATACTACCGTACACTACTACTGCTGCTGCTACGGACTACGTACCACATATAATATACGCACGGCATGTGCGGCTCGGCATAAGCTTCGGCGAGCTTTTTTTTAAAAAAGAAGAGAAGTGCTGAATGTGCGGCTCGGCGTGGCAGGTTTGCACACACACACACACACACACACACACACACGAGCCAATCGATTGTTTGGAAACTCCGTACGTTCGTCATGCGTATGAATATATTCTCTATATGGTTGGTGTCTGGGGGTAGTACGGGGAATACTCGTATAATACTCCACTCTATATACTACTACTCACCTTCAGTCGGTAGCTGCGGCGTTGATATGGAGTCGTGGATATTTGCATGGTCGTGAGTGGCGGACTTGACGTCTTGCACCATAACGCAATTCGAGCTGTCGATTGGTTTCATCGAATTAACCGCTGTAACACAGAAACACAGACATAAGTCAATTTCATTTAGTCCGTCGTACGCGCATCTTTATCATATATGAATATTATATTGTGTTATAATACACGCCCGTGTTACATATGACGCGCACTCTTACACATACGCGCGTACGTACGCCCACGCGTGTGACGTGGTGCGAGCAGCTCGCCTGTACGTATAGAATTACACGCACAGACACAGAGAGTTGTATATCCCGAGTATAAGCTTAATCACTTCATATTATACGCATCGGAACAGGATATAATGCGGTTAAATCCGTACATCGCGTGGCGCGGAGGTGAGAGAGAGTTGTATAATATATGTATAATAGCGTGAGTTGCGTTGAATTGGTCGTCGCGAGAGTTGAACTCGACGCTCGCATGCAGCTCGAATTCGACGCGGGGTACATTATACACGTCGTCAACATCCATGTGCAGTAGTGCCAAGTATTTTACGCGCGCGCGGGTCACGTGCTAGACCGAGAACAACTTTGCGCGTCGTTCCGTTTCCTATATGAGCTCCGAGCGCTGCATGTTCGCTCTCCGTTGGAGAAACGTACAAAAAAAACCCTCGCCTCGGCGTGTATGTGCAACGACCGAGAGAGAGAGAGAGCAGCAGCTCGTCACAACTTTTGTGTGCAACGCGCGCGATGTCCCCTGCAACTTTGTGCTCTGCATATGTACAGCGCGCGAATCGAGTATAATAACTGGCGTATAAACGCACGCACACACGTATACGCGTTTGCGCCGCTAGCATCCAATTCTTTGGGTATTTCGCTGCAAAGTCAAAATAACCGAGTACAAATCCAATACAGCCCCGTAGGCGGCTTGCGATTCTCCGATCAAAAAGTAAACAGAAAATTGAACGTTGCGCGTCGCCCGTTATATATAATGTAAAAAACGTGCGCGCTCTATTATACACACTGGGCGCAGAAAGTCGCTCGAATGCGCGTATATATGTTTTTGAATATACATCGTTTGCAATTGTGTCTCTGTATGTGTATATACGGTAAAAGAGAGGACGCACGAACAGAGAGAAAACGGAGAAAAATTGACAACAACAACAACAACAAAAAGCAAAAAAAAGAGCCGATCGCGAGAGAGAGAGAGAGAGAGAGAGAGAGCCTGGAGCCGGACAGGTGTCTCGTGGCTCGAGAGCTTTGAAATCGAATATCGTATTATATATGTATATAGGCGCGCGGGCGCGTGCTTGCATAGAGATTGATTCCTTCCTATGTACATGCACGTATGCTGGTACATGCCCTGCGCGTGTGTGTATGTATTGTGCAATATACCGAAGAGATATCGGACCACGATCTGCTGCAGTTAGTATGTCAAAGACAACGCGCTCGCGCGCGCGGGTGATATAGGATGCGCAATAACTTTGATCCTCAAGAGAGAGAGAGAGAGCCCCGGTATAATTACAATATTTATCTCTCTCCGGCTTCTACGTACTACTATACGTATGCAAGTGTGTACTTTGTTGCCGCATCGAATGTGTCCGTGTGTAAAGGTATGCGTGCATAATACCGAGAGAGATCAAGAGTGCTGCTGCTGCTATACGAGTGCAGCAGTGCAGCTGCAGCTCTGTGCAATACAGAGAACAGAGCAGAACAGAGTGACCAATATATACACATTTATATATAATGTATACATAAACTCTCTCGCTGAGTGAGCGAGCGAAATTTACTCTCTGTGCCAGCGCGCGCGCGTAATTGAATGTTCAAGTTTTCCGTTAAGCAAACTTTCGACGCCTCGCACTCGGATGGACGCGTCTGCATTTCGTCACGTCGGATACAATATTATTTTAAACTTTTATTCGATTGACAGCCAGCAGCAGCAGCGGCAGCGGCAGCAGGAATAAATGCAAATGTACGATGGTACGCGTGTATACGCACAGCCAGTACAGCGGCGAAACACGCGCGCAGCATCTAAGCGAGCCGGAGATCGCACATGAAAACAATACAATTTCAAGATAAAACTTGCTGATCCTCCGCGTAGTTACTCTGATGCTGCTGCAGTTGGTGACTCAAATGCGTCTCTCTCTCTCTTTCTCGTTCGTTCGTTCCCTCTGATAAGAATTTAAAACAGCTTTCAACTTATGCAGCGAGTCGAGAGAGACTTAGTTCTCGATTTTGCTCTGCTGCAGCAGCGACTCTTACTCGATATTGTAGTTATGACTCATCTATACGCGTGTATGCACTGTATAAGCTGCGTATATAGAGCTATATATACATTAAGAAAGAAGAGGAGAAGGAGGAGGAGAGGAGAAAGAGAGGAGCTTTGCAGTGCTCCGGTGCTTCGATGCCTCGGAGCGTTGAAATCAGAGGTCGTTCCAATTTCCGTATTATTCTCTCCTTCCCTCGCTCTCACCCCCTTCTGTCCTCCTCCTCCTTCTCCTCCTCTCTGCCTCCTCTCTCACTCTTCTGACAATTCCAGATTACTGCTACTGCTGTTTCCTATGCGCGCGCGATGAGCTGACTCTATACATATAGTACAAGCAAGTAGCAGCAGCAGCAGCAGCAGCTAACAGCTTTTCTCCGCGATTTCACCCGAATATTTTCTTGTATTAAAGTAAAAAAAAAAAGGATCAATATTCTCCCTATAAGCGGATAGTTTTTCCTTTGCTTTTATATATAAAGCCAAACGTGTAATGGTTTTGGAACAATCTTCCTCGCGATATCCCAATGATCGCGTTACTTTTTATATTATATTCGTTCTGTCTCTCGATTTTAGCATGGAAAAAAGCTCGTTCGCTCGTTTATATTCGTAAAGGTAAAAATCTTCTTTAAATTTCTTTGGTTCCGTTTTCCTGAAGCGTCGATCAAAGTACTACCAATAATACCAGCTCGACACGAATGCGACGGCAACGCATCAATCAAAATTTCATCGAGAAAATTCGTTCAATTATATTTGCGAAAATGTGTAATACGCACTCTCATATTATACTCGAATGAAGTATGGCAACACTAATGAGCGAAAATAACGAAAGCATATTACTTTTATACATATATACCAAAAGCTCCTTTTTCTTCGGCTCGCGTTCCCTTTTTCCTTTTACTTCTTTTCTGCTCTCGGCAGCTGCATACCGGGAATATTATCAACTTAATTTTCTCTCTCTTCATTACATTATATGCGCGCGCGGCGAAACCAATAGAACGTATATGTATGTGTGTGGAAATTCTATGGATCCATCACAAGGTACGTGTATACATATACTACCCACTTCGATCGCAAAATAATCCGAAATTAATGAAGCAGAAATAATCGTTTAACGGCGCGCGGAGCGGCGATTACACATCGCCTGGGTAGAAGTGGCTTGTACCCGCACAGCAGCAGCCGCGCCTCGGCACCGGCATTATACACACGTGCGCCGTACGAGCACGCATATATATTTCGAAAGTTTCCTTCGCCGAGCGAGACCCGCAAAGTATCGCCGATAATTATATGTGCAGTCAATGCGAAAATAAAAAGAAAGAGAGAAAAAAAAACAGCAGCCATCGCCGCCGCCGCCGCGTCGATGATGTATGCGGGTTGGCGACAAATTTATTCATCGTCGTCGTCATCATCATTATCGCGCAAATCGCCGAGCTGCGTGCGACATCTTGGGAGTCATTATATTATACGACGTACACGACACCGCCGCCGCCGCCGCGTTCACCAAATTGTATAATAGCTAAATTACGCCGTTTAATTACGTTGGACCATCGTCATAATAATAATGATGCTGCACTACTACATACCGGCAAAGTAAGCGACCATCGAGGCCAGCGCCACGCTAACCAGTATCATGGCGATGCTGAAGCACTTCCAGGAGCAGCGATGCTGGCAGCGCTTGTCGATGTGAAAGCGCGACGGCGAGTAGGGCGAGTAGTGGGGCACCGCCGCAGCCCTCATGGGGAAGCCCGACATGACCAGCGGCTGCTGGGGACCGCCCGGATGCGGTCCGGTGCCGCCGTTACCCGTCGTCGAGCCCAGCGTGCCGACGACGCCCTGGCCCTGGCCGGGCTGCTGTTGCTGGCCTGGCTGCTGCTGCTGTGGTGGTAACCTGGAAAAAGAAGAAGATACTTCATTAGTGTCATTTTTCTCGGATATCATCGTCGTCGTCGTCATTCTATATTGTGCTCATACGTATAGAATATCGACGTTGCTCGAGCGGGAGAGGCGAGGCGATATTGCGCGCAACGGATCGGAACTATAATAAGCGGCCTGGGCTACGAGATCCGTCATTAAAATATCCTGATTATAATCGCGCGGAAGCGTATCTCGAGAGCCTTATACCTACTATCGTTCGTCATTATCTCTTGGGTGCTTGCAAAGCTCCAGCTCACTCGCTCGCTCTGACTCTCTCTCGTTATCTCGTCATATTTTTAGTCGTGGAAAAGGCAGGAGCAGCAGCTGAAAGCTTTAAGTTTCAGCTTCAGTAAGGGGTCTTATAATAGAAATTAATTCATGGAGCTTACTTATTAACTCCTCATGTACGCTGGGCATGTATTATTATATACGACTGCGAGAAAAATGCCGTGCACTGACTGCGCCTCCGGTATGAGTAATGGGTTACGTCTTGTGCAATGCGCGTTCGGGCGTTCGGACGCGACACGTGCCGCTACCGTACGTAGCAAGGGTGTTGTTGCAGGGATTGAGAGGGATTTTTTTCTAAAGCATCTCATTAGCACACATACATATATAGGAGCAACCGATAGGAAAGGGAGAGAGGGAGAGAGACGGAGCTTTGATGCCCACCCGCTGCCTCCCGCCGACAATGCAATTAGAGCGATATAATGAAGTTACTCTCTCTCTACTCGCTACTCGCAGCCGTAAATACGCATAGTGGATACACGCGTGTGTGTGCGTATACGGAACACACGATGCTCGCATCGCGCCGGTACAAAGTGCGTCAATTTCGTCTACTGTTGCCGCACGCATACACTATAGAAGCCTACCCCTTTTTCACTCGAGCCGAACAACGAGAGAGAAGGTTGCTATACTGCTGCGGGAGGAAGGTCACGTGCTGTTGCCACCAGCTCCGAGAGGCGTTGAAAAATCGACGTTATTAGATGTACGTGTTGCGCCGTGCAAAAGGGCCGTGCACCGCCGCCACACACACTAACGCAGACTTGTATAACATCATGGAGCATATATAAACCTAGAACGGCAGCGCCAACCTAATATGTGCAGCCGAGGCGAGAAGGGAGACCAGCCAAGCCAGAAAACACGACTGTATAATGATATGCCGTGTTACGCGCACCACCGCTACGGCCATAACTCGAACTTCCTGCGCGCTATCGTATATTTTATTATAGCAGCTCACTCTTTCTCTCTCTCTATTATGTATCTACGCAATTAATAAGGCGCTAAAATGCCCCGAGAACAATAATTTATATCGTAGATCGATATAATACGCGAATTTTCCAGAAAATGTCTCACAGCTACATAATACATAATTGCTCCTTGTTGGCTCGCGCTGTTCTGCTGCTTGTGCTGCAGCTGCTGATTTATCGTCGCGTAATTGACGATTTATTTCAATTTCATTTGAACTGTAGCTCGTGCACCCACGCGTTCAACGTGTACACACACACGCATGACAACATCGCATATTATACATACATAAAATAATAATAACAACAACAGGAGCAGCAGCAGTGACGGGGACACGGCTGTGCTCCGTAAAAATCCGTGAAATCGCAAAATAAGTTTCTCTCTCTCTTATTCTCTGACCCGTCGTGCTGCTGCGTACACAACACGACGCGCATTATAATATAGCGAATGATAATGCTAAAGGTCTCAAGGGCGTAAATTACAATCAAATTGCGTGTTATATATATACGAGCGCGCGTTAGAAAAGAGCAGAAGCAGAGCAGAGAGTGGAATTGCGAGAAAGCGAGTTGCGAAAAAGAAGCAAAGCAGCTGCTGCTGCTGCTGCTGTTGCTGTTGCTGCAGTAGCGTGAATATAACGTAAGAATGAGCTCGTAAATAACTCGAATTACATATAAGTCAAAAACAAACGCGCGCGCCCGCGCACCGAGCGAGCAGCTCCCTTGTATATATATTCGTATTTTATATAGTACACTATGGAGGCAGAGAGACTCTGGCGTGTCACTTGCGCGCGCGCGCGCGAAGTCTCCGACTTTCGGGGCAAAAAAATATAAGAGGAATATAAAGCAGAGCGAGAGAGAGTCCTTGATTAATAACACGGCAAATCAGTGAAAAGAAGAAAAAGAAGAAGAAAGGCTAGCTCGAGAGAGAGAGAGAACGAGTTATGTAGTAACAGTAGATTTTTCGTTTTGAAAAATGTCTCTTTCTCTCTCTCTCTCTCTCTCTCTTCTCTCTCCCGCCTGTCGCGAAAAACTAGAGAGAATAAAGTGCACGCGTGCAAAAAACGCACAGTGCACTGCCACTGGCGATGGTGGTACACACGTAGAGAGAAAAAGAGGCGCGTACTGCTCTGCTCCGAGTAGGTCGAGTGCGTTTTCACACGAAACTTGCTTATGTATATGATATGAACAAACTCACACACGCTCACTCATTTTTTTTATTTCGAATATATAGGTATGTATGACCAGCAGCGCGAGCGGCTCCCTTTTTTTTTTATCTTTCTTTTTTTTTTTTTTGCTTTTAGCGAGAAACCAAGTCACATGTGTATATTATACACGTAGCAGAGCGCTAGAATTCGAAACTGGTTACCTCGTCTGTAACTTTATTATTCCAAACGACCTCTCTCTCTCTCTCTTCGCTGCGACTTGCGAGTATTTCGGAATTTCGAACCTTGGCTGCGCTCGTGCCATGGCCTTATCCCATCGCTGCGTCTCGCGTCGCGTCGCTTCGCTCTCGTTCTCATGCTACTCTATACAGCAGCGTAGCGCTTTATGCATCGATGGTTCGTGAATATTTTCCATTTCGATCGGAACCGGTCTCTGGGCATTAGCTATGCGCGCGCTCGCTCGCAGATATCGTATACGCTGCTACTACTGCTGCTGCTCCTATATGTTATGCCTCTTGCCAGGTCTCTGCAGGCACGCCATCCGTTTTTCGCCTGCAGCAGCAACACGCAAGGAAAGTAGGGCAAAATCTTTGCACACACATACATACACACACACGCACGCGTATGTATAACACATACGAGGCGCTGCGCTGCTCCCGAGGAAAGGATAAATTGAATCTTGTCTGAGAGTAAACTACTCGCTTAAAATGTGTGTGTGAGCGTGCACACATATACACAAGTACGTATACGAGAGACTATGAGTGGCGGCGTGAACTTTTGAAATTCGTCCAGCGAGAGTATACAGTGCCTATATATATGTAGGTATACGGGAGGAAAAACATCGAAGCGCAAAACTTTGTCAGTAGCCAACGCGCGCGCGAGGCAGGCAAGCTAGTTGCTATATAAACATGCCTGATACTGTCCTATGTATGTATGTATGAAGCTAGGCAGCTACATGGACTCGTCTGCAGCTCGAGAGTCCCGTAACAATTTAATTTGTCGCTATAATTCAGTTTTGTTCGAACAAGTATGACCTGATTTTGCCCGCAACATCTACCCATTCAAAAAAATAACTTTCTTCATTTCTCTATCTCTTCTTTTTTTTTTTACTCGCGCGCGGACAATATTACCCGTGAATAACTTTAGCTGCTTCTGCTGTTGATATTCCTTTTTCTTTTTCTTTCAGTTAGTTAGGAATAAAAAAAAAAATTTATATAGAACGCGACGCGTGTGCGTGAAAAATGTAGAGTGCCCCAAGCTGCAAAGTTTGTCATTTAAAGAGCTTCTTTAACGTACTTTTTATCTCTTCTTGTGTACCAAGAGCAGTGCAATGAGCGCACACGGGGCTCTGCGCGGATGCTATGCAGCAAAAGGAAAAAAGGCAATGTGTGCGGGAGAGAGGCTGTGAAGAAAGAAAGAAAGAGAGAGAGAGAAAATTCGAGCTCTGCAAAAAAATGCGAATTAAAAAAATAAAGAAAAGCGGGGTATACGTACGACTTCTCTCTCTCTCTCTCTCTCTCTCTCTCTCTCTCTCTCTCTCTCTCTGTATACAGTAATTAAAATGACGCACTTTCGCATATCGGCAGTCGAGCAGAAAAAGGTGTTATGTGCCTTCAACGAGTCAAAAGAAGCTTTCTATATATACACCACTGCAGCGCGCGACACGTTATCTGGCTCTCTGGGGCAGAAAGCTTAACTCGAAACAATGCACGTGCTTTTATTTCCATCGCCGTAGCTGCTCTTTCTCTATACATATATTTCGAAAATCCGAAACTAGATAAGGCCCCCATTGACAGGTAAAAGCCAGCTCGAAAACGAAGTGACTCGAATTCGCGCTCCGATGCATTTAAAACTTTTGCAATTTGAAATTCGAAAGCTACACAGTTCGCGGACGTACTTCGCCGAAGCATTTGTATCAGAGCAGAGAGAGAGAGAGAGAACGAAAGAGGATCAAAAAACAGGCGTCGTTATAACGAGCCTGCAATCACGTGTCTCCGTGTCTGTCTGTGTTTGCCCAAAGGATAACGGAAGACTACTACTCCACTCGTGTAGTGCTTTTTATACACAATTTATATATCTAATGTATAACGTTATTACCGAGGCTCTTCCGATTTGGCGTGCGCGCTCGGTGGCCACCACCGCCTCGGCTCGCCTCCCTATTACTCGTATGATACGGCAAAGTTTTTCGTCCGTTCGTGCGTGCTTAATATGCACACAAACACATACGCGTACACAAACACTCGTGTAAGACGCACACGTTTATGTATAAAGAGAGAAACTCGTACGTATAACCCCGGCGGTGCACACACGAGGCTTGTTTGCTTTCATAGCGAACGCGTATGTTTGTGTGTGTAGATGTGTGTGCATATAAAAGGGAGGACGAGCACAATTTATTGAATACGCTCGTGTGGGTAGTGAGTATAAAAGCAAAGAGATACGTTTAAAATTTTTCCTTAATATACACACATATTATTTTTTTGAAAAGAGGGTAAAAAAAATTTTATTTCTGCTCGCAAAGTGAAATGTATTTATTCATTACTGGCTGCTGCTGCTGCTGTCGTGCATTTAGCCAGTGGATAGTAGGCTCGTACCATCATCGTAATCGTATAACAGAGAAAAAGAGAGCGAGGAAGAGATTTAAGAGGGCCAAATACGCACAATAGACTTTAAATCCAGCGTTTAATACGGTCCCTTGTATATACGTCACGACGAGGTATATTCATGGCTTTCAAACTGTATATTTATTTGTCACGCAGTAACAGCAGCAGCAGCAGCGGCAGTGACGGAAGAGACTCTCGCGTCGCGTCGTGCTGGGGACTGCTGTAACTATTCGAAGGCTGCAGCGGCGGCGGCGTCGGAGATTCTCGCGTTTTATATGTTGTATAGTATGCCTATAATACGAAGGGGACACACTCTTGGGGTCTGGAGAGGCTCGAGCCAAAGGCATTATTAGATGCAATTTTTGCCACTCATTTACGACTGGGCTCTCTCTTTGATAAAATACACTTCTCTTCTGGCTCTCCCTCACTTGACACGTCTTAAATATTTTTCGTCCTAAATCACGTTTGTAAATCCTGCCGTTTTTTGTCGGCGCTCCTATTCACGTTGGTTGTTGTCACTACATAGGCCACCAGCATAGGCACTCATCGAGATTGTATTCAAATATAATAATAACGTTTCGCGACGGACAATTTTTTGTTCCGCTGCAAGTTCGAGAGTATTGATCTTTGACGCAATACATAAAAGCTCGCGCGACGCGGTGATGACGGTAGTTTATCACGATACAAAGTCTTCTCTCTCTCTCAAGAGTCGCGCGAGTCGTGCAAGCTTATATTATTATATAGACTATACGTCGCGAGACAGCAGCCTAAAGTATCTATACAGCCGACGATACAGAGAATAACGGCAACAGCCGCAAAAACTTTACTTCGATCACTCTTCTCCCTTCCGTTACGCACCCTTCTTCCCTCTCTCACTCCTATCCTATATATGTATGGAGGAGGTAAAGAGAGGTAAAGAGAGGCAGCAGATAGAGCAAGCGAGCGAGCGGAGCTTTTGTCGTCGTAGACCTCTAATGTGCACGAAGAAAGTCCAAAAGCGAGAGAGAGAGAGGAGGAAGAGAACGCCGAGAGAGGGAGCAAGCAAGAGAGAGAATATTACACCACGTGTGCAGCACCAGCACCAGCAGCCTTTGCCGCAGCAGCACAGCGGGTAATAAGATTGCGCACGTGACGACAATACGAAAAATCTGAAATTACGCTTCCCTCGGATATATATACCGATGTATAGTATAAAACGTAACATTGCCCATGCGCCTCTCGCTTGCCGCTGCCGCTGCTGCTCTGTCTCTTATATGAAGATTTTTTCCTTTCCTTTCTTTTCTACCTTTTTTTTCTCTTGTTCGCTTTTTTTTCCATTCTCCGTCTCTCTCGTTTCTTTTTCTCCTTTTTTTTTTACTTTTGCTGGAGCAAAGCCTGCTGCTACGAGCCCACACGTACACACGTACCTATATACGGACGCACGCACGCGCGCGCGTCTATAATGTTTACGTGCGTGAATATACGAATGCATCGAACTTGTATTCGTTGTTGCTGGTGCTGACCACTATATGCGAGCGCGTCGGCAGAGGCGGCAGATGTGCTTTGTCTTGCTGCTGCTCGCTTATTACGATGACGTGTAAATGAAAGCGCAGCCTGTGCGTGCCCTTCTTCGTCATTATTAGAATGTTCCATAAATGAATGGTATTTTCATTGTGCGATGTTGCCGACGCAAATTTTCTGCTATGGCCTATAACTCCTCAACTCAACTCTTTCTCTTGAGGGAAGTTGATTTTACATTCCGGCGCCACCTAGCGCTGGAGCGCCGTGACTAAACTGTCCCGAATAGTGAACGATGTGGAAAAAAAATCCTCAATTTTAGAATTTTACGGCTGATAGATACGTATCATTATACACAAGCTTTGACTCGTACATTGTTATACACCGTACGCACGAACAAGTGCACACGGGCGTCAAAATCTTCTCGTTACTCAATTCACCAGCTCGTAAATTATCACAGTTATGTGTGTGGCCGATCATTCGAGAAAAATTCCTAGAAAAAAATAAATGAACAGCGCTATTTCATTTCGCGTCTCGATACAGACTCGCGCGTTATCGAGCTGATATATGGTATTCGCGGTACTTTCAACGAATTAATTCGGTATCGCAGAGGTAAACTCTGTTTGTTCCTCCTTTTTTCTTCTTTTCGATATATGTAAAGAACCAGCTGGAGAACAAAGGCCCAGCCAACGAGTTCCTTGTCACGCGGATGAGGTAACGAGTCCCGAAGCGCGCGCGATAACATTGAGAGAGCTTTGCGCGCAGCATGTGAGCACCTACGCGACTTTATTTTTCAAGAATCGTTCGATAAGCCGCATTACACGCCTTCGCTATTATTCAATGTGTGCCCTCGCGTACGTATAATGGCGTGTGCGGTTGCGAAAACCGGTCAGATTTTATCCGATATACGCTTTTTTTTTACCCACGATACGGAAGCCATTATCGAACGTTCACATTATATTAGCTTACGCGATGTAAAAGCGTGCGAAAAATTTGGATGAAAATATAAGGACGTTGATATACTTTAATCCCATCGTTATACCTCTCCAAAAGTCCACATTTATTCTCTTCCATCCTAATAATTTTCACAACGCCAGCAGTAAAGCCAAGCAAAAGGTTAACGAGAGACAGCAGTGACTCGGGCCCGGGCTATAATAATGATTACTGCGACTCCGAGGAGAAATAACAAAGCCGTTCGTCTTCCGATTCGAATTATGTCTCATCGGGAGAAGAAGAAGAAGAACATTCAAGGAAGCTTAAAGGCCAAATTGACACTCTCTCTCTACATCGATCGTAGACAAATTCGAATGAAATCAGAGCGCGAGGGTAAATATTTATAGCCGCTGCTGATTAATCGCCGAGATGTCGACAAATTGCGCACTTAATTTTCCAAAGTTCTTCGGAGATACACAACGACGCTCGAAAGAGAGAGACAGAGATCTCTCAGAGAACGACGATGATTCTCACACGTGTTATATTTTTATCGCGCGCGACCGCAACGAGACGTGCACGGAGCGTCCTTGTTTTTCTTCTTCGTTCTTTTTTGTTTAGAAGAAAATTAATCAAGATAATTTGACTAATGATCGGTAAAGCGATAGACATTAATCGTGTCTCCAGAGGCTCGTAAAAGACTCTTCGGTCGCACGCGCGCACACACAAATAAAGACGAAGCCTATCATTAATTTGAATACACGCAAAATAAACATGTCGTCTCTCTCGGCGCTCGGTAGTATATAATACGGAAGTAGCAGCATGTGATAAGAGCCGCAGCAGCAGCAGCAGCGGGTCGCGTTGCGTACGAAGAAATCTGCTCGCGCGCAGGCTGCAGCAATGTCTCACGGCACACACAAAAAGAGCGTAGTAGTAAGTACACGGGCCGGGGCACTGCAATACGCGATTTGTTGTAACACGCAACTTTTCCAATAAAAAACTTTTACCGCGCGCGCGTCTTATGTAGCTGTTTGGTGCACAGGAGTCGTCGCTACGCGGAGCGGCTACTTTTTCTGCTTTTGCAAAAGTCCGCGTTTATACGTACAACGCACACGTGCACGTATATTATATACACGATACTCAAAAAAAGCACAATAAACGACGAAACTTTATTAATAAAAATTTTTTTTTTGTCATCTCGAGACATTAGCCTCGGCCGCCGCGAGCGCGACACACACACAAGTGCATCGCGCGACGTTGCAGCGATAGAATCTTGGTCCACGATACGGAACGACCGCTGCAGCCCAGTAACTTAGTTGAGCGGAGCAGCGAGCTCCCCCATAAAAAAAGTAAGAGTCTCTCGTCCTCGTCGTCGTCGTCGTCGTCGAGGCTCGGTCGCATCGCTTCGCTGTAATAGTGACATAAAAATCGCGGCAGCGTCGGTGTCGGCACGCAGGAATCTCGGGCCCCGCAGCAATTGACGAGTCTTGTCCATCATCAGGCACGGAGATCGCAATAATGCACGACGCACACAGCTCGCACGACAAAAGAGAGAGAGAGAGTCGACGTTTACGCTGTGTGACGTTCCTGCGTATACAATAAATGTATTATACACACAGAGTATAAGTAAGGGCCGAGCTGCGTGCGATTCATACATTGTACATACATCTCTACCGTATATCTATACATTTTCGCTTAGTGCGGCACGTAATAATACGGCCGAGTGCAGATGCACATATATATAGAGGTACACGCAGCAAGCGACCGGCGTTGCACGTTCGTGCGTATATATACGCAGCAGCTCGGTGTATGTGTGTGTATGTGTATGTAATACTACGTGCTCCAGCGCCGGAAACTCTATTTTAACGTAATTGGACTCTCATCTCCTCCTACTCGACGCGCGCGCGCGATCCGGAGAAAGAGAAGAGAGAGAGAGAGAGATGCGACTTCTATGTATTTCGCGTGCACGTGGAGGATGGATACACATTATATACGCGAGCGCAAGTTGCGCTTTTTTCGTTCGTCACCCTGCGCGTAGCTCGCTCGTTTTCTTCTTTTTTTTTTTGTTTGTTTGTTTCTCCGTCGTCGTCTCTTGTCTTTTTTTGTCCTTCATAATGTGCCTATACGGCTCTCTCGGTGAGTAATATGTCTACCGCTATAATGCTCCGGCTGGTGCATATAGCTTATATACCACACGTGCCAAATTGTTTTCTCCAAAGTTTAAGGGATGCGGCTGAGTGATTCTAAGGTTCTTCTCGTCTAGCTCTCTATTGGCATTCTCGCGTGTGCAAGTTGCATCTGTATACACTTAGACGTTTGTGCATGTGCGGGTTAGTGTGTGTTTGTCACGATACGCGATGACAAATTCACGAGTTTTCCCTCCCACGCGGGAATTCGAAATGCTCTGTGTGCGGAATGATTTTTTCGACGAGTACTGCTGCTGCTGTTGCAGCTATAGTGGTGCCAAGTCGAGGATTGATATATGGACTGAGGAGAAGAGGATTCATTCTGACTGAGTGGTTTCTCGTGTGAAGAGAGACATGCCGTTGCGCGCGCGCGCCGTTTTTGTGTTATTTTGTTTCGACTTTGGCGTGAGTGTGCACCTTCAGCCTATATATAATACCTATATAGGTATATATACGTGCAGGCAGGCAAGAGAGAGAAAGAGAGAACTGGAAATTGAAAAGTTTTGCCGTCACTGACAGCTTTTTAGTCTCTGGCCTATAACGCATTAATATCAGCGTTGAATCAACAGAATATTTAATTTCTTTTTCCTGCCTCGCGTGCACGCACTTTGTCGAGAGTTGATGATAAAAAAAAATTACCGCAGAGCCAAAAGCAAGAGTTTAATAATATCGCGCTGACTTTTTCCACACAAAAGCTTATGGAAGCACTTTTGCCATGCTTATATACATCAAGCGGCGACGTAATAATACTGAAAATATAAATATTTTAAAGTTACCCGCACGTATAGTCACGTAAACGAGATGTTCTGCAAAAAATTATTATTACTGCCCGAGGTCTAACGCCAGCCCAGCGCGAGTTTGCTGTGTGGCAGCAGCTCATGCATTGAAAATCACCTTCAATGCAAACATTTTCGCACAGATGTACGCGAGGGCTGTGCGGCTAAACTTATGGTATTACGCGGCAGAGAAATGTATATAGTGATAAAATGTACCCTCGAAGTAATGCTTATCTTGGGTAAGGACATTTCGGCGAAGTTTAATTTTACCCTTAATTGTACGAGCGCAAATTTTCAGCATCAGATAAGAGTAATATTTGCGGTGCTAGTGAAATACCATCGAGTAATAGTAAAAATTCTGCTTATACGGAGATGTAAAATTTTTTTTATGCCATTCGGTCTGAAATTTGACCCCGCAGACTCCATGTCTCAAGATAGTCATTATTTTGGAGGGCAAATTTTATCTTATGATTTTTCTCTCTGCGTGTATTATTAATAAAAATATACGCAGACGGTTTCGAGTGAAAAAATTTAGAGCCCAAGTAAAAGTAAACAATGTCATTTCTTTGGACACGCGGGGAATAAAATTCGATTCGAGAGTAGATCGTTGCTTTCGATTGCAAAACTCTATATAAGCGCCCGAGTTTTGCGAGAGAGTATATTTAAACATGTGCTGCGTAAAAGACTGGATTTTGGGAAAGAATAAAGAAAACAATATAAAGCGACGACGACGATCGCGCACCGAGGGTATGAATATATGCGTGTATACGCGCACAAGCGGCGAACCGTCGCTGGTGAAAAATTTTTGAAAAAACATCGAGTACCGCTCGAAAGCATCGTCGAAATGTAATCACGGAAAGAAAATAGCCCCCCCTAAAAGACGGAATAAAAAAAGAAAAACACCGACTGCAAAATCAACAAAACTCTGTCGTCGCTCTCTCGAAGCTGGGGCATTTCGCGGCGCCGCAAATACATGCATGCGCATTTATACAAGCCAAATACAGCTCGCAATGCAGCAGCTTCACGCGCGCGATGGTCTTTTCACGCGCGAATATAAAAATAATCATAATTGTCAACGAGCGAGCGAGCGAGCGCGAAACGATCTGCGCGCAATAAGGAGTATATAGGGCCTCTCCTCTCCTAATATTTAACGCGCAAAGCGCCTGTGTCAAGGGAAAAGTAAATAAAGAAACACAGCAGATGCCTTGCGCTACAGAGTCGCACGCA